CCCCTTGGGCTCCATAGAAAGCGCGAGTCGGCCGTGACTTAGCAACGAGGAGTGAAAGCCGTCACCGTCTATCCTAGTATTCTGGGATGTTCGCTCCCTCGTATAATTCTTCCAAGACAGTATATGGCAGGCAACCGACCTCGCTGGAGTGCATGCTTACACGTCTTATTTCGTCTGCATGTCTAAAGTTCGTCTGTTGGTGTATGATAGGTTTCTGAAGAGTGAGGTTCGCAGAAGACGTCGGGTCAACTCTTCGAGCGGCCTATTGCCTCAGTGCGAGTCTCACTTGCGTTCATCTGTCTCAAGATGCAAATACCTGTTACTGGTCTTTTTTCATGGAAAAGGCCGTGTAATGATACCCTGCTCTTACCCCATTCTCATCACTCCACTATATATTTAATCTTCTGGTTGTATGGCAGTTAAGCACCAGTGTATGTTGTTGGTGTATTGCTGCTGTTGATGATGACTTGATGTTCTCAGTTGGTTGTCGTGACGCCGGGTGTGGTAGTAGGTGAGCCGTGCTAGACCTGTATTCCGCACCACAGCCAGCAGACTAGTGATTCGGGAATCAGTTCACTTTGTCAAGGGCTTTTGGGAAGTTTGGATACAATGTCTTGTTTTTCTTTCGTTCTTCAAAACTCTGACTGTTCGTCCGTGAGCAAAGTCCCCAGCCTATGTCTTTGTGAGAATTCTGTCATGGATGTCATTGGAACACCGCCCACTACACTCACGCCAGACATCGTTCCAAAATATGCCTACGGTATCTTCGGTTGACAGTAAAAAATAAAGATAATCTTTAATCTGTAGCACTGCTCCGATGCCTAGCTGCCATGCCACCCGTAGGAAGCTTAAACACTAGGATACTGACAGGGTTTCTGAGCCTAGACAGGAGAAGTCGAGAGGCAGATGTCGGGTTCGAACCACGGACCTAACGGTCAGTAAATTCGCGTTTAAACCACGAGCCATCTCCCTCCCCCCATCAAAATTGGAGGTTCATTGGTTATGGAGCTCTATCGCGGGACACTCATAACGGAAGTTTCGGTCTTCCGTATGAGACTAAGACCCAGGAAGACTCGAAATTGTACTCATATACCCTACTCTTCCAAACTTGCATTATTTCAGCTGCTTCCTATGAGTGGATGAGCCTAAACAATGACCTGGATCTCAGCTTAATGACGCTTAACGGTCTTCGAAGGCCTCCGCATCCCAGATGTCCTGTCAAACCAACTGAGTCGACGGATTCGCCTACAAGATGACATATACCATCATGCGGGCGCATTTCACATTACCACATCATCATCATCATCATTGTCAGCTGTAATAACCGCGTACTCGTCGTACAGTGGTTGTAGCTGCCGCAGTTTCGTTCACCGATGATTCGTGTGACATTCGTGGGTTCTGCCTGCATGTTTTCATATAATCCGTTATCTCCACTGAAATGTTACAGCCATTCTTCACAACTGACCAAAATATTTACCAACATGATAGTACAGTAGTCCACACATTGGGAATGCCACCGGTACCCCATGCACTGGCAGAGT